GCTTTTCTTCGCTTTCACCTGAGATCACGTCGAGTACAAGAAAAGGTACGTGCGAGCGCAGTCGTACGCTAACGCTATTTGGTCTCGTTGGCTTAGCGAGTATGTTCCTTCACTGAACAAGCGTGTCAAGTGGAACACTCAGTCTGATTTCACGCTTAAGACGTGCGATCTGGTATGGGTGATTGAGCCCGATAGTCCGAGTTGGTACCACCCTCTCGCCCGAACCGTTAAGCTACATTATGGAAAGGACAGTTCTGCACCATCCGCCCTTGTTAAGATCTCAACGCGTGATCTCACTCGGCCGACTGTTAAGCTTGCTCCATTTTTTCTTCAGTGGTGGAGGATGTTGCTAGGCAAATATAAGCTAGAGTACAATAACATGAAACATAAAAATGACTTCAACTAAGCACAGTTGGCCGGGTGGTCTAGACCAATCAAAGTTGAGCGTACAGGTAAACTATTCCGGCGAAGGTTCGATTCCCCATCTGCCGAGTTAATAATATACCTAAGAAGGGGTTTACACCTTATTTTTACTGTTTTTTTATCAAGGCTAACCGCCACAATTGCAATTTGTCTCAAAGACATTATTACTTGCGCCAGTTTGTACCGCTGTCGGGGCAGAATATAGGTAATATATGATGTTACGTTTGGTTGAAAAATATCAAAAAAAAAGAAAACTGTCAGAAATATTCTTAAAATGTCCCCAGATTTTTGCGAAACTGTGCTCTGGGGGGAGACCAATTCTCTCATTAAGTGGTCTGGTAGTGAAATATCAGACAAATTTAATTGAGTTTTTTCATCCTCAGGTTTCTTCCCCGTGAATTGAACCAATTTGGCTGATCTCTCACCCACCTCTGTTAAACTGAAAGCTAGTTGGCTTTAAATGATTCAAACCCGTTTTAGCCCGTCCGGTTATTGACTTCGTTGCGTGATAGTAAAATTAAGTTGTCAGGTACGGTGATACTAAGTGGGTTAAATTGATTTTTTCCATCCTCAGGATTACTCCGGGTGTGTTGTTGGAGTTCAACCGACCTACTTACTTTTTCAACCCTTTGGTACTTAAGCGTAACGAAGCCGTCGCATTGGCATAGGTCCCTTAAGTTTATGGTATTCAATATAGGAGCTACTTCCTTGGTTCGCTTTTTGGTTCAACTTCGGTTCAGCCTTGATTAAGGCTGACAGTCAAAAAGAGCAATAAGTCTCCAAGACATTATTACCGGTTCCTGTGGCTAGCTTGCGCCAACTTGTACCGTTTTTGGGGCAGATTATTGTTGTGATATGATATTATGTCTAGATGAAAATTATCAAAATTTCCGTTGAATTTTTTTTACCGATAAAACGACTTTAAGTTATGTTTTTTCAATTTCAAATTTATCTTACGGATATTGAGCGCGCTTATGAATTGTGGATTTTTTTTAACTTCAGTTTTTGTAATAGCATAATGAATTATGCTTATCCTACGCTTTTCATATTTGAAAGTTGTCTGATAAACGTTTTTTTTCCATGGAATCTAAGTATGAAATTGTATGATATATTTTTTAAATATCAATTTGTAGGATAAACAATTTTTTTCATGGTGGTAAACGCGGCTTTCATACGATTCAGCTGGACAAATAAAGGCTAGCGAGACAACTTCACACTTGTGATATCAGCATTTCACCCATCCACGAAATTGTTTCATAAATATACAGATACCATTTTGGCATTGTGAAACTGTTTGACTGGCAGTTTTCCGCAGTGAGAAATCAATTGATCAGCATTTTCTTGTGATATGGAATTGTGTGACTTGCTTTTTCTCCTTATTTGGAAACCGTTTTTGGCTTGTTTATTAGATTTTTTCTCCTTAAGTGGCTTTTTCTCTTTATTTGACTTGCTTTTTTTTTTAGTTTTTTTTTCAAGTTTTCAGTTCATCTAAAAGCAATAAGGAACAAGTATAGCCGGTTACTGTGGAAGTAGCTCAGAATGTTCCGACCATAGTCTTTCAAAAACTACCGTTTTAAAACTTTTTTTCCAACCTAGTGTAGTTTTTCTGATTGGTGTGATAAAAGGATCTGACGTCAGAATATAACTTAGACAAATAAGACAGTCATAGTAAGGTAAGCAAAATGGTCACAATTGTTTTAGAAAACTGACTGCAAAAACCTTTTAAAAAAATTAAAATTTTTTATTGAAGCTGTTGATTCCCAAAGTGAAGCTAAATTAGATTTTGGCTTGCTTATTAGATTTTTCTCCTTAATTGGCTTTTTCTCCTTATTTGACTTGCTTTTTTTTTAGTTTTTTTTCAAGTTTTCAGTTCATCTAAAAACAATAAGGAACAAGAGTAGCCGGTTACTGTGGAAGTAGCTCAGAATGTTCCGACAATAGTCTTTCAAAAACTACCGTTTGAAAACTTATTTTTCCAAACTAGTGTAGTTTTTCTGATTGGTGTGATAAAAGGATCTGACGTCAGAATATAACTTAGACAAATAAGACAGTCCTAGTAAGGTAAGCAAATTGGTCACATTTTTTTTGAGAAAACTGACTGAAAAATCTTTCAAAAAAATTAAAATTATTTTTTTGATGCTGTTGGTTCCCAAAGTGAAGCTAAAACACTTTAAACGCTAGTTTAATTGCTTAATACTGGAATTTAAGGCCTTGAAGTAGGCATAATTCAGCTGTTGTAAGCCTGCTCGCTTGCTTTATTCGCTCGAATTAGGACAAAAAATCCAAAAATTTCAAATGATTCCTCTCGAAACTGGGAAATTTTTTGGAAATTTTTTCATGTGGTTCGAAAAACAACTGAAAAGGTTTGAATATGATATATCGCTCCAACCACTCCGATGGTCATTTTTGCCACCTGATTTTGAGTGGAAAAACTAACAGAAAAACTAAAACACAACCAAATACAATGATCGGAACTTAAATTTTATTATTAAATTTATCACACTCAGTCTGACTTCACGCTGAAGACGGGAGATCTGGTATGGCTGATTGAATCCGATAGTCCGCGTGCGACCCACCTTCTCGTCCGAATCGTTAAGCTACATTATGGATATTATGGATAGGACAGTTGTGCACCATCTGCCCTTGTTAAGATCTCAACGCGTGATCTCACTGGGCCGACCGTTCAGCTTGCTTCATTTTTTCTTCATCAGTGGCGGAGGATGTTGCTAGGCAAATGTAAGCTAGAGTACAAATACATGAAACATAAAAATAACTTCAACTAAGCACACTTTGCCGAGAGGTCTAGTCCAATCAAAATCGAGCATACCGGTAGACTATTGACGCGTAGGTTCAATTCTCCCGTCTACCCATGTAGTATTACACTACGAAAGGGGTTTAGAACCTAATTTACTGCTTTTTGGTTCAACTTCGGTTCAGCCTTGATTAAGGCTGACAGTCTAAAAGAGCAATAAGTCTCCAAGACATTATTACCGGTTCTTGCGGCTGGCTTGCGCCAATTTGTACCGTTTTTGGGGCAGATTATTGTTGTGATATGATATTATGTCTAGATGAAAATTATAAAAATTGCCGTTGAATTTTCTTTACCGATAATACGACTTTAATTTTGATTTTTCAACTTCAAATTTATCTTACAAAATTGAGCGCGCATATGAATTGTGGATTTCTTTTCACTTCAGTTTTTGTTATAGCAATATGAAATATGCTTATCCTACGCTTTTCATATTTGAAAGTTGTATGATAAACGTTTTTTCCATAGAATCCAAGTATGAAATTATATGATATATTTTTTTAATATCAACTTGTATGATAAACAATTTTTTTCATGGTGGTCAATGCGGCTATCAAACGATTCAGCTTGACAACAAAAGCTAGCGAGACTATTTCACCCATGTGATACCAGCATTTCACCCATCCACAAACCTGTTTGATAAATATACAATTATCATTTTGGCATTGTGAAACTCTTTGACTGGCAGTTTGCCGCAGTGAGAGAAATGAATTGAATAGCTTTTTCTTGTTATATGGAATTGTGTGACTTAATTTTTTGCCTTATTTGAAAATCTTATTTGGCCTGCTTATTAGATTTTTTTATCCTAATTTGAGTTGCTTTTTTCCTTTTTTAAAATTTCACGTTTTGTGCTCATCTAAACAGCATAAGGAACAAGGATAGCCGGTAACTGTGGAGGTAGCACAGAATGTTGCGACCATGGTCTTTCGAAAACTACCATTTGAAAAGTTTTCTCCAAAGTAGTGTAGTTTTTCTGATTGGTGTGATGAAAGGATCTGATGTCAGCATTTAATTTAGACATTTAAGACAGTCATAGTAATGTAGGCAAATTGGACACTTTTTTTAAAACAACTGACTGAAAAAACTAGCTTTATTGCATAAAGTTAAACTTTAAGGTCTTAAAGTGGGCATAGTTCAGCTGTTGTAAGCAGGCTCGCTTGCATTATTCGCTTGAATTAGGACGAAAATTCAAAAATTTCAAACTAGTTTTTCTCGACACAGGGAAATTTTTTGGAATTTTTTCAATGTGGTTCGAATCACAACTGAAATGGTTTTAATATGATATATCACTCAACCCAGTCCGATGATTATTTCCAGTCCAAGGAGTATTTCTCCAGCATTCAAATACAGCAAAAAAAATGAGATAAATTTAAACGTGCTGCTGTCACAAAATGGTGTTTCCTTCTATTAGTCATGTTAAACAAACACCACACCGTGCAGCAGAACGAAAACTGGTACGTTTTTGTTTTATTTAACAAAAATTTTTGTCAGTTCCAGAAAAAATTCTTTCCAAAAATCTTTAACGCGCATGTGAAATCAACAACAGCGTTATTTACAATTTTCAGAGATGCTTATACCAATGGACCAACAACATTGAGTAATTCATCGAAAACACCACTTGAGCGAGTTTACCATTATAGAAATGAACGTCATCTTTTTTGGTGAAATTATGACTTAAGAATGGTTGAACAAACACCACACCGTGCAGCAGAACGAAAACTGGTACGTTTTTTGTTTTATTTAACGTATATTTTTGTCAGTTACAGCAAAAAAAAAATCTTTCCAAAAATCTTTAACGCGCATGTGAAATCAACAACAGCGTTATTTACCATTTTCAGAGATGCTTATACCAATGGACCAACAACATTGAGTAATTTATCGAAAACACCACTTGAGCGAGTTTACCATTATAGAATTGAACGTCATCATTTTTGGTGAAATTATGACTTAAGTCTAAAAATAAATGATGATAATTTTTTAAATCGGCATGTGCTTTAGCTACCATTACTTTCGCATAAGCTGAAACAAAATATTAACTCTATCGAATTGCTTGCCCTGCTAGTCGGTTTATGTTTTTTTGTTGAGCAATTTTTTTAAATAGCTGACAAAACAGCTGTTCTGAAACATTCTACACGTAAAAAACGGTAGTTTTTTCTTAATTAAACGAAAAGATTTTCTTAAAATTTTTAATTTTCATCAATGGAGTTCGCGTCTCCCTATGCCTATGATTATGGTGGGGCGTCTTCATGCGAAAGTGACAATGAGCAAGACTCCACTTTCAAGACAAACGGTAAGTCTATCATTTAGGTATCGCATACATTTAACCAACCCCCGACCCCTTTCCCCCTCCCCAAAGCAAAACGACCGCCTCCTTAAGTTGAATCAGTTAAAGAAATTGTTCATTTAGACCAATTATCACTGCAGTGCTTTCCCAGTAGAAAAAAAGGACATTAGTAAAGTGGTTACGCCACACGGCTCTGAATGGAAAGGTCAGTTGTTCGAGGCCCACCATGATTCGTGCTCGTTGTTTGAGGGTGAGGCAACACTGCCCCGCCCAAAAAATACAAAAAACTGCGAGTAATTCTTTCCTATCGGCACAACAGCGGTTCTCTGTTAAGAGCAGAACTGCTTTTTTATTGGTCTCCTCCCTTATCGATAACTCAATTTATGGAAACTTGTATTCCAAAACGATCGAAACAGCTCGGCTGTATCTTGGTCTTTTTTCGCGCATGAATGCTCTTAATCTAATTAGATATGCAACGGGTAATCCGTATAAGACTTTTGACACCGGATTTGGCCTTTAGAGAGCTAACCTGTCAAATGTATTTACAGAATTTTTAGGACTGGTCAACCACAAATGAAAGTCATAATATAGTATCAAAGGGACCCTTTGGAAAAATTTGGCAACCATAATTGAGAGAGGGGGCGGTTAACTACTTTGGTACAATTTAATAACTGGCAACACCGGCAGATTTTAAGTGCACATCTGGTGTTAATTTAGAATGAACTTGATGAGGAATGCGTGCGAAAAAACGGAGTTTTTAGCTTTCGAAAAACGAGTTATTCCTCAAAAAGGTCATATGCTTCAAGTACCGAAACCATTTTACTAATTAGAAACTTGGTACGGACCGGTCTAAGAAGACAATTTAAGTTACAGTTGACTAACATTTCAGACCCGTTCATTGTGATTGTCAACCCATTGTCTAATTTTGTAGTAGCAGGAAGGCTGCACGTTCTGAAAAGAAAGGACAAGAAGAAAAAAGCGAGGAAGTCAGACACAAATGTGATCAACGTGAAGTTTGGGTGCCTAGAGGAAAATGCGTTCACCAGCACTGCTCAGCCGGTGAAGTGTTCCAAATGTCCATCTGTGATGAGCAATTTGGAGGATGTTTTCAACAAAAGAAACAATATGGCAAGTAATTTTTATCATTTCAGGAACTTAGCATAGTGATAAGGTGTTCACTTTGAGATCGCCAGATTGTGTAATTGATCCCCTGCCATGGCAATTATAGTGTGCGAGGACGAGCTGTCACTTGACCTCTAGATTCAGCTCTACCACAGCCTGACCCCTTTCGGCTGCAATAGTGGTACCGCGTCAAAGTTCTAGACGCAAAAAAACGGCCTTGAGTCGCGAAAAAGAGCTTTGCTCAACAAAATAGCGCAGTCTGGAACATGCGGAAAAACGAGAAACATACTATTCTTAGACAGGCTGGATGGCCTTTCATAGATCCTCTGCGAAGCAAAGAAACGACAAAATATCCGGACATATATAATTTTGCCGCAAATTTTATTGTAGCCAAACAAAAAACCTTCTCGCATTTTTTTTAAGCTTCATTAACTGTTCCGACTTTCGTAACTAAAGTAAGCGAGAATTTGTGCTCGGGGTGGGGTTTTTCTACAGGCAAATTTCGACTTTTTAACAAGCCATTTTTGACGGAAAGTTTTTATTTCATTTGAAAGCTATTTTTGTCCTGAGTTTAAATTTGAAAAGATATTTCACCTGTGTGATCATTTTTCGTATAGTTATGGGGGTTTGAATATTGCCATTTTGGCGAATTTGGGACACTTAATGCGCGATATATGAGCGCGATTTAATCCGTCTTAGAAATCGTTCCAAATTGGTTCAAGGAAGCTTATTTGCCTCGATTGGTATGATAATAGGAGCAAAATGTATCACTTTGTACTTAATATGACTTGAGGAGGGATTTTTTCACAAAAAATCTCAATTTTTTTTCAAAAGTTTTTGATTTTGTTTTATTACGATTAAATTCTTCATGTTATTACAGCTCCATAGACCTTAAAAGACAGTCGGAATATTCAGGGCTTTGTCTTGGCACGAGCGGTCTTGTATAATTTTGTTGTCAGTTTTATTGTGAGCTCAAAAATTAATAGAGCTCAACAGGACTGCTCGAATCATGGCAAAGCCCTGAATGCTTCGACTGCCCCTTAGTTCATATTGAATAGTTTTTGAGAAAAAAATATTGAAAGCCTCTACATTTTGGACAATTTTAAGGTGTAAAATTTTGAGTTGAGCAAAATTGATACGACCGATCCGATTAGCTAGCCTCAATTCAATTTGGAACGATTTTTTGTGCGGGATAACTCGCCACGCCTAAATAATTCGCGTTACGCTCTCAGCGTTATGAATAAACTCTTCAAAGCGCGCATAGTTTAGTTGAGAACATGGCGAATTTGGCAATTTTCGAACCCCCAGAACTTTACAAAAAAATAATCGGAGGTGAAACATCTTTTTAGATTTGAACTCAGGAAGTCGATATCTTTTATGGGGTAGAAAAATTTTTTGCTGAAAATTATTATTTTGATCGGTAGAAATTGACTGAATGAAAAAACAATACCAAGCATAAATTTTCCGTTTTTTTTCGAAAGTCGGAACAATTAAAAAAGTTGTGTATCAGTTATATCCAGGTTTCTCGACAAAGCACGCGCACGTCAGCGTAAAATTGTATAATTTTCCTATAAATTTTCTATCGGTCTTATTGATGTTTCCTGTTTATGATAGTCCGTATATATTTCGAATCAATGTCGTATTCCACAACAATTTGTATGAAGATAGTTAATTTTTTTAACGTTTTTTCTCGTTTTTTTTTTTCTGTAGTTGTGGAAGTGTTCGTTCTGCTCGACTGTGAATCCGATCTCGCAGGATGAGGCTAAGCAGCCTCGCAAAGAGGACATGCTGTTCATACCCGAGGGAGAACAGATAGCGGCCGAGAAGCGAGCGGCAGCGGCAGCGGCAGCGGCAGCGGAGAAAGCGGCGGGCAAGGAAGAGGGGGGAGGGGAGGACAAAGTGGACGTGGACGATGACAGCGTGCTTTTGTTCACACTCGACGTCTCGGGCTCCATGGTGTGCGGAACTGGGTGCCAAAGGGTAGGAGCTGAGTTGCTAAAATTCACCTTTTACTAGAAGGAGTGTAATCATGATGTAATAGGGTTAAGTTTTAGCTTATATGAGCATGCTGATGCATCATAAATTTTAACATTACTCTTATGAGAGTGGCGAGATTAGTTTGAGTACACTTTCAACTGCATTATTCTTTTTTGTTCCCTCAGCGCTGTAGTTTTTCAAAATGCACCGTTTTTCACTGACGTTGATGATGTTAACATAGCTGGGATCACAAATTTTACTTCAAAAAGTTTGAGCAAAGATTAGTTTTTTTTCTAATCAAATGTGAAGATCCTTCGAGACAAATTCGATACGCGGGTCGAGTTGTTCAATTTATGTTTCGACTTTCAAAGTCCAGCACATGCCAGAACTCTACCGAAAAAGAAAACTTCTGACAAAAATTTCTGTAAATTAGAAGGTTTTTGTCAAACTGCTTTTTTGGTTTTCTCCCAAGATCGGATTTGTTAACTTATTATTTTGTAATTTATAAGCATTCTTGAACTTATTGAGTTGATTATTATATTAAGTTCTTTTTTTTACAGTCGGCTACGCGAAACAACGATAGCTCTGGATCTGGCAGTGACGATGGGAACCAGTACTTGTCCCGACTAGATGTAAGGAAACTTCAGCCTACTTTTTTTTACTTTGAATTGAGCTTTTCTTATTGCTAATACTTCATCACTCAAGTAAATTGCCATAATCTTTGATTATAAAGTCAACTGTGCTCAATTTTTTGAAACTTCAATTTTCAATTTTGAGGGCACAACTATCATCTATGTTTTAATCAATACACATTTAACGACTGTTTTATGGTTCCGATCCTACTTTCGAAAAAGTAGAAGAAAATGAAAGCTCGGAGTAGTTTTTATACTCTAAACTTTAATTTTCAACCGAACTTTTTTAATTGCAATAATTATTTTGGCTCCTGAAACCGCTGTGAACATTTTCGGTAAATTCTGGGGATTTAAAAATTGATAAGTTGGTCAAATTGGTCTACAGCATATCTGAGCATATCACAAGTCTATGAAGCGTAAAATTGTGTTATTGAAGCTCTGTTAATTATTCCGCCGACAAAACTGTTTCGTTTTGAAATGAAGGTGAACTTATTGGGGTTTTAGAAGAGTCAATTTGCAATAGTGAACGCGCGAAATATTTTCTAAAAACTTTTTTCTCTAGAAGTGGCAACACAGATTGTGAATAACACTTATTTAGTCTTGTTATTACGTTGTTGTGAGCAAATCATATCACTGCTTACTCTTGTTGTTCCGACTTTTGAAGAAACCGAGGAATATAAATGCTCCGGGGGTTGTTTTTTTATTATTTCAGACCAATTTTCAAAAGAGCTTTTTTTCTCATTGATCAATTCCTGGATCTTCGTAGTTCACCCAGAGTTTGAACACCACTTTTAAACTTGGTACGAGTTTAACTAATTTTATTTTGGTGCCCGACTTCAAGACGACGGGACTTGAAGCCGAATCGTAAAATTAAGGACTTTAAGCTGAATGTTTTCACAAAAGTCATAAATTATGATTACATTGAAAACTGTTTTCAATAACTTTTCAAATACATGATCTTTCTATACCAGTTTTTTGCTTTATCATGGAGTTTAAGCCTCCTATTGATGCTTAGGAAAGTAAAGAATTGAAACATTGTTGAAGACCTTTGTTATGTTTTTGATTTCTGCATTTCAAAATCCGGCTGATGTAACTAACGGATTGCATTCTTAAGTGGTGCATTGCCATGAATAACACAGATTATGAACTAAACTTACGAAACTTTTGAAAACTTTTATTTTACACATGAAAACTTCGTGTTTGATTTGCTTTTAAAGTTTTGTTTTTGGCGTGAATTCCCTTCAGCTAGAAGTCCCGTCAGCTTGTTGTTCTAGGCCCGTATTGTATTTTGATACTAAAAATGTAACGTGCATTATTCAGACGTGGCGAGTTCTCCCGGACGACAATTCGTTCAAAAATGAATTGAGGCAATCTAATTGCTCTCATTTATTCCATATACGACTCAAATATTATGAGTAAGAAAAATTCAAAGTTGAGCATAACTAAAAACTTTTCAAGACCAAAGTTAATGGGCAGTGGGAACTTTTGTGGCTTTGCCCTAAAACTGGCAGTCTTGTTGTTCCGACTTTCGATACGAAAGTAACGGAATATTTGTGCTCGGGTGGGTTTTTTTTCTTCAGACAAATTTCGACTTTTTAACTAGCCATTTTTGACGGATTTTTTAAATATTAGTCGAAAGGTATTGTTGTCTTGAGCTCAAGTTTGAAAAGGTATTCTACCTGTGATCATTTTTTGTAAAGTTGCGGGAGTTTAAAGATTACCATTTTGGCCAATTTGGGACAATTAACGCGCGATATATTTCGCGCTATTAACGCGTGAGCGGAGATTTAGTCCATCTTAGAAATCGTTTCAAATTGGTTAAAAGAAGCCTATTTGCCATAATTGGTTTGTTACAACGAGCAAAATCTATCCTTTTGTACTTTATATGGCGTGTGGGAGGATGATTTTTAATTTTTTTTCCATTTTGTTTTATTTCATTGATTTTTTTTAAATGTTATTACTGCTCCATAAACCTTAAAAGGCAGTCGGAACATTCAGGGCTTCGCCCTGATACGAGCAGTCTTGTTCTCTTTGTTAAGGTTTATTGCCTTTTAAGGTTTATTGAGCAGCAGTAATACATAAAAAAATTTAAATGACATAAAATAAAATGAAAATTTTTTTTCTAAAAATTGAAATTTTTTATGAAAATCGTCCACCCACACGCCATATAAAGTACAAAAAGATAGATTTCGTTCCTTGAAACAATTCGATTATGGCAAATAAGCTTCGTTCAACCGATTTGGAACGATTTATAAGACGGATTAAATCTCGCTTACGCGTTAATAGCGCGAATTATATTGCGCGTTAATTGTCCCAAACTGTCCCAAATTGGCCAAAATGGCACTCTTTAAACCCTCATAATTTTACGAAAAATGTTCACAGGTGAAATATCTTTTCAAATTTAAGCTCAGGACAACAATAGCTTTCGAATGATATTAAAAAAATCCGTCAAAATTGGCTAGTTAAAAAGTCGAAATTTGTCTGAAGAAAAAAAAACCCACCCCGAGCACAAATATTCCGTTACTTTCGTATCGAAAGTCGGAACAATAATTTTGAAAAACACATCGTTTCCAACTTCTGTTGTTTGCTTATGGTTTTGATTATTACCGGCATAACGTGGCATACAGATAAAATGCAGCAGAATTTCGTTCTAACATTTATAAACATTCAACCGGGAAAAGATTTTTTTTCAGACGGACCTTTTACCAGACCGACTTTTTACGAGACCGCAATACAATAATTCAATTAAGATAAGTCAAAAGGTGTGGAGATTCGAAAAGAAGCGGGAAATTTCATACAGATTATGCTCAGACAGGCTTAATGGATTTTCATAATTCCTCTGCGAGTCGCAGAAGCCTCGATTGTTCTAATTAATTAATTAAACAAAATTGCGCTGAGAAACCGTAAAACCATCAGCATACAAATGAATCATATGGTTATTTGAGAAACTAAAGGCTGAGGATTCGAGCTCAGATTATTCAACAGTCAATGTCGGGGGATATTCTCATGATGGAGGGACCAAATAACGGAAAGTTTTGATCAAGTCAGAATTTAGTCAGTCACCAGTGGATTTAGAGGGGGGGGGGGGCGACTTTTTTTCAGGAATTCGACCCCCTGTCGACTCGAAGAATCTCTCTTTGTTTTGAGATATCCATTTTTGGTGACGGACCCTAGAATTTTTCAAGAGGCGCCTTTGGGGCCACAACATACTAATTTTGAGGGTGGGAGGTGCGCCGAAAAAACGCATTTTTTTATTCAAAATTTTCCAAAATTTGCCTAAAAGCGCGTTTTTTTTTGGACTGTTTTTTTTAAATTTTGCCTGCAGCGCAGGAAGTTTGGTCAAAACGGGGACTTTAAACTGTTTTAGGGGAGCTCAGATAATTGATTCGGTCAACCTAAAAGAAAGTCGACAAAGTTTTTGAAATTTTTTAAAAATCCGCCCCTGGACGTTTTCATTGGCCGAAATATTTTTGCACAAGGCCGAAGTCAATATTGTTTTTGCTGTTTTTGCTGTGCATTAACAGCAAATGAAATAACACAGCGCAGCAATTTTTTGCTGTGCATTTCGTGCAAATCAAGAATAACTTTTAAAATTACTTTTCAATACTGGTAAAATCAGTCTTAGTTTTTTTTCCTTTACTATTTGACTATATGAATTCGACTTCGCAATATTTGAAAATTCATGGATCTGCTCAGTTTCCAATCGGTCAATATGAATTTTGATGAACTTTGATGACTCTATTAGTTTTCTTTGAGATTTTTGAATACTCAATTCTGATTGGCTGAAAATAACTGAAAATAAATTTCCATCATTCGGTCCCTTACCGGCGATAATCAACCGTCTCTTATTTTTGTAGGAAAGCTCACAACGCGTTGACACTGTTTTGCTGGTTACAGAGTTTGATTTTCTGCTGAGTGAACAATAGACAATTAGTTGTATTTCAAATATTTACTTTCAAACTTTTACTTGACTTTTACCTAACTCAATTTTTATGTCGTTTTTTTCTATATGTCGTTTAATGCTCCCTTATATGGAATATAAAAGCTGGGATCAATTAAACATCCTCCCACCAAATAGCCAAAATAAAATTTCGATTAAAAGAACCAATTGCTTCTGCGTGTAAAACACTTTTTTGATTGTGTTATTGGCTGAAAATTCTTTCTTACGCCCACACTAATTAACTCCCTACATTTACTCGCGTTAGGGGGGAGGGTGGGGGTGTTAACTTATTCGAAAGTTGGAAGGAAGAAACGAATTAAATTAGAGTTGTATTCTAGTTGCAAAAAAAAGAAGGAATGTTGAAATGTTTTTGTATCGCTGTTATAGATTATGAAGACAGCTCTGTGTTCACAACTGAAGGATTTGAAGACCCAGAAGCCCAATGTGAAACTGGGAGTGGTCACTTTCTCCGAGGATGTGAGTCTAAAGACGGCTTCTTTTTTTCCTCTTAACTGAACCCCCCTCCACCTTTTAAACCCTGTCTCGTCATTCGAACATCCTAAATTCCCCCTTCAAGCAACTAAGCGAGAAATACTAAACTGCTGGAATGTACCCTACTAAACCCCCCCTCCCCCCCCCCCCCGCTGCAAATGAAAAGACATAGGAGATATTAAACAGCTAATATTACATAAACGTTCATCAAAGGCACAAATGTGAACTGCACAAATGTGACTGCCCGATGCGGTTTAACTTATGAATAGTTTATCTTAATTATTTTTTGTTTTCAGGTGACATACCTGGCAGATGGGACTAGTTCGAAGCAGAAGGGACTCAGCTGCGAGTACGAGCTGGACAAGGACCTCATCCAGAAAGTTGGCATCGGCTGCAAACTACCTGGACCTGTGAAGAAGAGCTCTGACAGACTGAAACGGGCCATTTCGGGGTGAGTTTACATAGTCCATATACAACTACATCCTTTTTTTCGATAATCTTTTATTTTTTCATAAATTAGGATAAATGGAATATTGGTAGGATTGTGATTTGCACCCCATTTTCTGAGTCTAGTAGAATTTCATGCTCTTGTTTTTGGATGGCCAACATATATGCAAGAAATTTTAAATTATGCAAGAATTTTTTGACTCATGATCGCTTGTCTTAAAGACGAAAACTTAGCTGAATCATGCATGACTTCGATAAATTCTTAATCTTTTGAACGAGACAGGCGATATCCTTATAAATTTAGTTACCCTTAATCCAATCATGTTCGGGACGTTTTTCTGGTTCAGCTCTCTAGCCTTAATTTTGTGGATAGAAATAAGAATTAACATAATACGCCCAATAATCAAAAAGTCAAGTTAGACGCAATAGTAGTAGAAGAGTGAGCTGATCGGGGGGGGGGGGGGGTTGGGGTGGGTGGAGACCTCGATGTATTAAGATAGGGAATAGAGTATCCGGTTTCCGAGCGATGTATTAAGATAGGGAATAGATTTCCTATGTATTAAGATAGGGAATAGGTTTCCCAATGTATTAAGATAGTAGGTTTCAGATGGTAAGGTTTCAGATGGTAAGTTTCAAAAAAAAAACAAATGGCACCCGAGTTTTTTGGAGCTCGAGCTCGCCGATACTACTTGCGTTTCTTAGCTAACTTATACGGTTTAGATGTTTTGATTATTGTTTTATAAGTTTGATTCAACGAGAAAACTATCTAAAATTATACTGAAACCTAACGAAACTTTGAGAAAAAAATCTTGTTTTTTGACAAAAAAAAGTTAAATTCAAAATATGAAGCATATAAATCACTGCTTCGTATAATCATTTTACCACAAGTTTCCAGTTAGTTAATTAACACTAAATTGAATGCTATAACACTATGAGTTATTTACAAGTTCAAAGGTTTTGTGTGTATTCCGTCCTCCTGAACTTGTCTTTTAGGGTAAAAGTAGCTCAATCCTTTCTTTTTTGCTCGTATTTAGCAACCATATGATTAATGGTTCTAAATCCTCTGTTTGTTGAAGTCAAGTTGATTGCTTCTTCGAGTATTTTCCTGTATTTTTCCATAGGGCCATCGCCGGATTCCTCTATAATTATTTTATTCAATCCTTTGCTGCTAAGCTTTATCTTGTCTGATTTGTTGTCATAGCAACAATAAGTCTTGCTGCATAAACATAGCATCTCCGTACACCTAAATTCTTCTTTGAATAGACCAGGCTCTAGTTCATCGTGCTTCTTGTGAACGATACAACATGTTCGTGGAAAAAAATTGTTTTGAATCTGCTCTAAATGAATCTCTGCAATATTTTTCTCTCAATGTTTCCCAGTCCCCTTTTTTCTCCGGACGAATACAATCATACAAATTTTCCTCAGCAAGAGCTAAATACTGCGAATCCGTGTCCGTTTCTAATTCCGCGAACTTATTTACATCACAAAGTTTGTCGAAAAAATTGTAGTAAAGCTCAAGCATTCTCAGCTTTGCATACTGCAGAAAGAAAATTCCAACTATCACAGTTGGTATCTGTTGAAGAAACAGTCACAGCTAGGACATCGAATGCACTTGAAGAAAAAATCAATATCATTCGTGTGAATGATATGGTTGTTGATTCTTAGCAATTTGACTGTTTTTTTTTCGAGTTTTCCAATACTTCGACTGTCTAATTCTCCAACATATTTTCCTTCCTGAATATCAAAAGCGTAATTGAATATGTTACGTTCAACTATTCCCTCTACAAGCGGTAAATCATCAATGGCATCTCCGTGAAAACTCTTCCGATCGTATCCAGATTTTGATATAAACTCTGTAAACAGCTGAGATGTATGAGCATCGAGGTTACTATGACCAAGCAAATACCCACCGTTAACGCACGGAAAAGGCAACGATGATCTTTGTATGGATGTTTACCTTTATTGGATAAAAGACGGTTTACTGAATGGTTTTTCACTAAAGGTTCAGGCAAGACAGAGTCTGGACAGCCCATTGGAATTTTTTTTAGTAATGCAGCGAAAATAGTGACATTTGTGATCAACTTGAACCTCCATTTTGAGTTCTGACGTTCTTGGGTGCCTTGCTCCGTGATATCAAACTTTTCAGCTTTTCCCTGAATTGTAAACAAATCTGCTTTCGTGAACAGTAATTGCAATTTTTCGGAAAACGTTTTGTTTTCGTGTGTGTAGTAATGCCGATAATCTCCCGTTTCGACATTACGAAGAACAAATCCAAGAGCAATATTGATTTTTGCAGCGGAACCCAGCTTGTTGAAGACTTCTTCAAGCTTCTCGTTAATAATCTTGGTATCTTACTTTGACATTTGGAAGTTAAATACCTTATGCCTCACATTCTCCATCGCAGTGTCAACCAGGAAGTGTTGACAAGCACTCAACTCCTCTTTGAGTTTCTCACCATCACCCCCTTCCTCCTCCACAATCTTGTTCAAGTCTGCCACTGTATCACTTGGTTTCCATTGTTTCGCTCCATGTTCTTTTCTCTGATGTTGCTCGAGCGATTAGTAACTCGGAAACTCCATCTTGCAAGATGAGCAAACTGTTCATTGCTTGAAATTGATGGAGCATGTTTTTTGGCCACGTGATAATTCATATCTTGCTTATTGTAAGTGAAATACTTACAATCAGGACAAGAAATAATCCCTGCTTGACAACTTTTGCGGTGTCGAGAGGCATGTTGACGAATATACATGTTTCCACAATCCCCACACTGCACTTTCTCGTGTCTATTTAGCGACGGCATCTAAAAATGGAAGAATTATTAAGTATTAAAAAAAACAGTTAGTACTTGGTGCATATCAAATTGGGAGATTTAAAATGTCCCAAAAAATATAATAGATTATTTATACTTGAAATTATTTTGAAATATTTTCAACAATTTAAAGTAAGTATAAATAATCTAATATATTTTTTGGGACATTTTAAATCTCCCAATTTGATATGCACCAAGTACTAACTGTTTTTTTAATACTTAATAATTTAGATGCCGTCGCTAAATAGACACGCTAAATATTTCAAAATAATTTCAAGTAGGTATACAAAGTATAGAGTGATTGCTTCCAACGTAAAGAAAATCAGAACGAAATGAGTTTTATTTACTATTACCTAGAGAAAATCAATCAATCGGAATTGAGTTTTCTTTTTTTATCACTGTTTGTTAGAAATCAACCCATCAGAGTCCAGCATTTTCTAAAAGTGAACTGTTTAGTATTTAAAAAAACTTAATCAATATTTGAAAAATGTCTAACAAAAAAAACATATGAATTTTCTTCGAGTTACTTTACAAGAAAAAGAAAAAATTCCAATTGATTTTCTTATTGATGACATAGATGTTGATTCGTCTTTTTTTCATGATTTTTGGACGTTTTTTTTGTACAAAATAGAGTTATCAGACTAAGTAAAGGTCTCTCCAGGGAATTTTACTCAATCAAAGAGTTTACTTTTGATCCTTATATTGCCTATCAAAGCTTTAAATTTACGGCTGAATTACACCTCACAAGGAAAGAAACTTTGTTTGTTCTCGAGAATTTGAAGTTAATCAAAAAGTCGTACGATAATGTATCAAAGTTTCTATTTATCCCCTACCCAAAACCGAATTTGTAAAAACTCCCCAGCAAAGTTCTTTATTCTTTCATTTCTTAAAGGATTTTCAAAGTTTAAATTCCTGCTTGATTCGGTTTGGAATCAGATTTCCAGAGATTTGCTCTAAAAAAATCATCAACTTTGAGTTAACCTCCCAAATTTACATCAACATCAAAAAACTCATTGATTACATACAAAAAATTCAATTATCTAGATGAAAAAAATTGTAGAGCTGCTACTTGTTCGCTATTCTTTTGATACTTATATCGGCAATGTTTCTTGTTTTTACAGCAAACAACTTTCGGTAATTTTTTTTTGCAATTGCTTTTGTGTTTATTTTCACTTATTTAGAAGATTTAAGCTCTGAAAAGTGTCTTCTGATTGGATACGACAACTGGAACAAAAATGAACATTTTTGTGACTGGAAACGACAATACTTAAAATGGAGCTTTGTTTCTGATTAAACACGACTTTTATCCTAAAATTCCTTAAAAGGAAGCCTAAATCTGATTGGACACGCCTACAATCCAAATAAGGAAAACCAATTCTGATTGGTTAAGCCCACACATTCGAGTTGAAGGTACCTCTAACTCCTAATTAAAAATCACTTTATTTTCAACTAAAATACCGTCAACTACCTCTTCTCTCAGCACTAAATACCTTAATTTTAACTTATCTTCCGTCAGCTACCCCTCTCTCAGTTCTGTCTTGTTTTTACTCTTTTACTCAATTTATTGCTCAAAATTATCTTCTCAGTGCAAAACAGCAACCTAAAGTCCTCTGTAGAGTTTTCGCCTGATCTAGTACAAATCCAAGTACGAGAAACAATCTCTGAAGTTTTTCTGGCACGAATGGAGATCCCAATCCAAGTCTGGCATATGGTGGAAGTAATACGAAGGAACTTCAACGAACATCATATGACACACGTACCCATGACAGAGAACCAACTTAATGAAATGCAATTGATGAAGGAAGTTTCTGATCATGTGGGAATGAACTACCCCGAGATTCCTGACTGAAGATTTGTGGCTCAACCAGTCGACGACTTCTTCTTTCCTTGGGAGGAGGCAGGATCAGCCGAAAACCCCATCACAATAGATGAAGATGAGGGTTTCTCAAAAACAATGACACCTCAAAACATTCTTCCAACAACAACCACCAGCAATGGAACCTCGTCCAGCTCTGCGTACTATAGAGAACCTCAAGAACTCTTCTGCTGCTTAACAGCTCTTTGATTAAAAGTTTTTTGTAAGTAATTGTTGTTTGGTATTAACTTTGTTCTTTGTAATTAAATAGTTTCTTCAATTTCATTTTAATGATGCGAGTAGATGAGAGGTTCAGAGTAAATCATTGAAAATCAATTAGAACCTAATTTAGAACCTAATGTTAAGAAACTCAAATAATTTTTGCACACATATTCGGATAAACAAAAGAAAAATTGTACACAAGTGAAAAATACCTGATAATTTTTGCATGTAAACAAAAAAAACTCAAACATTTTTGCACTTTGGAGAAAAAATTGAAACACTTTTCGCATTTTGTCAACAAAGTGAAACACTTTTCGTATATTGTCAAAAATATTGAAACAGTTTTCGCATTTTGTAGCAAACAAGTGAAACACTTTTCGCACTTTGTCAGAAAAAGTGAAACACTTTTCGCATTTGTAGGAAAAAAGTGAAACTATTTTCGCATCTTGTTAAAAAAGTGAAACACTTTTCGCATCTTGTCAAAAAAAATGAAAAAGTTTCGCATCTCGTCAAAAAAATCAAAACACTTTTCGCAATTTGTCAAAAAAAATGAAACAATTTTGGCATTTGTAAAAAAAAGTGAAACAAGTTTCGCTTACGCTTGAAACTTTTTTCCCATCTTGCTGAAAAAATTGAAACACGTTTCGTATTTTGTTGAAAAAACTGAAACAAATTATGCAATTTGTCGAAAAAAATGAAACAATTTTTGCGATTTGTAGAAAAAATTTAAAAACTTTTAGCATCTTGCCGGAATAAATCATTACAATTTTTATTGCACAATTAATTACTAATCTTTATGAAATCTTTATTCAAAATTTAATCCATCACAAAACTAATTCTTGGATATCTGTTGATCAGAAACAATAGAAAATCAAGGTATTAACATAGGGAATAGCGATGAAAGTCATCAATAAAGACAATAAAGAAGTTTTTTAAGCAATAAGTCAATAAGCTTTTTACATTAACATTTTGCGTTTTTTGCCTTATCATTTAAGAAGTAAAGTCAGAATTTTACAAAATTTTTGAAAAAACTAAGAAAAAACGTGCATTTTACCAAAAAAAAATCTTAGTTTTTTGCATTCTGCAAAAACTCTTGAGAGAATTTTTGGTACACTTAAAAAGTTATTTACATTTATATGTTAAAAACTGCTCAAGCTAGAAAAAATTAATTTTGACAAAATTCTTGTAACAAATATTCAATAATCACAAGAAAAATTATTTGAAAAAGCCATTCAGAGGGTCTGACATGATTCCTCTACAGAGCTAAGAAGGCGTCTCTTGAATTATTTAGGTAATAAAAAGTAATTCCACCTGAAAAAATGACGTCATTACACTTTAACTTTTATAGAACAGTAAAAGTTGTGGAATATTTCCACCCAAAAAATTGACGTCATTATTCATTAAATTCAAGAATCTTCTTATTTTTAGAATCTACAGATTAAATCCTTGATTTTTAAAGGAAGTCATTACACATTAACTTCTAGATTCTTCTCAATCTTCTGAATTTTAGAAATAACCACTAAAATTTAACCAAACAGAATTCCAGAACTAACTCTAAAGTGATGAGGTTGATGGAAAAAATTTGTAAAATTCAGTTATATGCTAGTTTCTTAAATCTAAATAAAGATACGCAACCAAGTTTGTAAATAATAGGAATAGTTTTCAATGAAATTCTTTCCTTTTGAAAAACTTAAGTAAAAAAAATTCTTATTCTACAAAATCCTTCATAACGAATTAAAGTCAATCAAGTGTTGCAAAATTTTTGAATGAGTTCAGATAATTTCATGACAAAATCAACAAAATCTACAGCTGAAATCAACTTCATTTTATTTGAAACTCTTCTACAGTTCAGTTCATTCTATCAACTTGAGTACAATTTTTAAAAGAAACGGAAATCTATCTCAATTTTTGAAACCAATCAAAATAGAACGGGCGAGTTACTGCATCTAGTTTGAAAGTGGGACCAAATTGTCAAGATTCTCAAATTTAATAAAATCTCCCAGGCTAGTGAGCAAATTATCATGGATCTTTCAGAATAGAGAGAACTCGAGAGTAAAAGAATTAGAGAGTTTAGAAAAAAATTGGCAATGTCTTAGTCAACTTCGAGAAAAAAGTACGGGTTTTCATGGCATACGGAAAAACTTTTCATTTGCTTACAAGTGAACATTTACTACAAATGACTCTTTTTGAAAACACGGTTGAATTTGACATCTTCTACAGAGATCCGAAGAAGTGTTTTAGACCCTCAAGAATTTCCCTACATGATTGGCGAAAAATTGAAACAATTCGTGATAAAAGGTACAAGTAAGAAAAATTGAAGGTTCGACAGGATAACTTAGCTCTGTTTAGAAGAAAACATGGTGTCTCACATGAAGAAGAAAGTGTCAAGAAACTCAAAAATTAACTCAATTTTTGTCTTTTTACACATTTTTCCAAGTTTCCCAATTAATTGTAAGTTGGGTTTTTTCTTTTCATCTGAAAAAAGTGCTCCTGAACCAAAGCTTAGTTTTTGAAGATTTATCAGTGTAAATTCTTAAGAGCACATTTGAAGACAATTGATTATTTTATCACAAAGCTTACATAATCACTATGAACAGAACCATGACAATCAATAAAGCATTCGATAATCTTCAACAAATCAGATTCATATTTTGAGTTTTGATTTTTTTTATTTCTTTCCAGAAACGCTGAACCAAGAGTTTGTGTGGAAGCCAGCTTCTGGTTGGAACATAAATAATGTCTCTTGATTTTTTTTCCAAATTAGTCATTTCTTTGCAATACAAGGCATCTTTTTGGCTCCTTTCCATCGTAAGTTATGTTGAACTGCTCGACTAAGCTGATTGAACATTTCTCCGCTTGACGTAACAATACTTGAATAGAATCATTGTTTGATCAAAGTGTAAAGACAGTAAATTTCTTGATATATTTATACATAATTATCTAATCTCTGAAAATTTTGGCTAGGGGATATTCCTATTAAAAGCAAATGGAAATGACAATTCTCCAAAGAACATAAAGAGTTTTGGGTAGAGACACAATAATCATGTGTTACAATGTGTTTTTCTTAAAAATCACAGGAAACGGAAATAAATAGCGATTTTTTACAATAATCTGAATAAAAGCTGGGAAGAGCTTGACACATAGCAGGAGCCATTGGGAAGAACAGTTTTTGCTGAGAATTGTGGATTTGTATAGGAGAAGTAACGCCTACGCGATTTCGGTATATGGAAATTTCATACAAAACATTCCTTATTTGGTATTACTTCCATAAATGGAAATCATGATGAGTCACACTTTTTACTTCCATTCTCATTTAATCTCAAAATTACCATTCTCATAATACATGGGGGTTTCCAAAAACCCACCGCCCCCCCCCCCTGATCAGCTCACTCTTCTACTACTCGCAATTGGACTGTTATTCCCTTGTTGTGTAGGATGCACCCGCAGTCGCTGACCGCACTCGGTCCGGCGCTGCTCTTTTCGGTGGCTATCGCGGGCAAGCAGAATCAGAGCAAGGTCGTCATCTGCACCGACGGAGAGGCCAATGTCGGCATCGGCAGTCTCAGCTCGGAGGAGCCTGAAGACGACTTCTACGACTACGTTTCCGATTATGCAAACGAGTTCGGGTAAATAGTGTGTTATTAAACGAGTTGGTTAAAAGCGTATGGGGGTAAAGTTTATTATACAAAAATGGATAATACTGAACCATCTAAGATCAAACAGAAAACTATTATAAAATGCGTTATAATTTTTTGTTCCGAGAAAAGCCTATGGCGTAGTGTTTGCTTTTCCCCTCTCAATTTCAGATACCTCAAAAGGAGTTAGTAGGTGTCAATCATTGATTGCATCATAAAAAAGCACTTTCAACCCTCATTTGGATTCCACAAAAAATGAACTTACAAAAACTGTCCCAGGGCGTGTCTGACTAATTTTGGTTTTAAAACTGAACTGATCATAAAATCAGCACAGAAGCTGGCCTAAAATTTCATTTCTAACGGCATTTCAACGTTATCTTAGCTATTACGACCCCTCATTTTAAAAATTTTTTCGCCATATTCATTCGCTCTTTCCTGAAAACAAATTTTAAAGAAAAAAAATGAAAGACCTTCACAGAAGACAAGGATAGTCGGTTGCTGTGCAAGTAGCACAGAGTGTTCCGATACGGTCTTTAAAACACTACAGTTTAGAAATTATGGTCTTTTCTGCTTGGCGCGATAAATGGACCTGATTTAAAAATGTAATTTAAGCATATTAGACAGTCATAGTAATATAGGAAAATTGAAAAAATGTTTTTGTAGAAAAATGACTCGAAAAACTAAAAATAAAATGATTCTTGATTCAAGGAAAATGATAAACTTTTTGATTCATAAAATGAAGCTAAAAACTCCAAAAACTAATTTTACTTGCTTAAAACTCAGTTACAATTCAGCAGTTGTAAGCTTGCTCGCTGGCTTTATTTGCTCGGATTAACACGAAACATCAAAAACTCAAACCTCGACACTTGGAATGTTTTTGGAAATTTTTAAATGTGGTTCGAATCACGACTGAAAGAATTTTAATATGTTATATCACTCAGCACAGTCCGATGATTATTTATGTTACCTGATTTTGCGTGGAAAACAAAAAAACTAAAACACACCCGAATACAAAGTTCTTCTCCATTTTTTGGAACAATACACAAAATTGAACAATTCAATAACCAATTATAGATCAGGAACCTCTGGTATCTGGCAAACTTCAATCTCTTGAATTGAATTGAGAAAAAGGAAAAAAGAACAGAGGGGAATACCTGATCGCGGACAAGTAGTTCCAGTGGAACTATTATTTCAGTTTCTATAACTACTAACTGAAAAAACTCGAAGGCCGCTGCGGCCAGTCAATTGAATTTTCAAAATAGGATCTAGGAATTAAGGGCATTAGTGGCTAACAACATAGTTTTTGGGCATTATCGGCGTTTCAAAATGTCTTTTTGGCAACCACCCACTCTATATTATAATTCCCAGTCAGTGCCTCTAGTTCGCCGCCACAGAAGTTGAGAAGACTTTTTGTTGCGTTGTTCCACAAAAAACCACGCCCCATGAAGACGGGTCACGCAAGACAGAGCAATACATCAACTTGAAGTCCTCACAACTGCGATTTGATTGAAAATGTTATTGGTTTTTTGATTTGATTGAAAACACCGATCTGTGCTAATCAAAAAATTTCGTGCTTGAAACTTTTATTTTGCAGTTTTTGGCAGAATTTTTAAAAAAATCTTTAAGAAATCGACTTCCTTGCGCTCAGAATTGAAAGGAAGTCTAACCTTCGACCAATTTTTGAAAGACTATTGGGTTTGAAGATTGAAACTTTGAGGTACTCAATTTCCAAGTTTTTCTAATTCTTAGTATGTGTAGCACGTTAATACGGCTCAAGTGTTCGTCAAAATTGAACATAACTAAAGGTTTCTGATTGTGTTGAATAAATAATAACAAAGATACTTCATATTTCTATAAGACTTAAAAAGAAAAGACTCAATTTTTGGCCTTTTTGCTGCAAACCATTTGCAGTTTAGTAGCAATTGTAGCTGATTTTTTGATAATCAGTGCTATTAAGTTTCCATTTATCAATTATGTCGCAGATGTGAGGACGTGAGACGCCTATTCTCCAGTTTTGAGTTGGGATTCCAACGCATAGCAGAAGTTATGTTTTTCAAGGTTTAGTTTTACCTTGAATTATTTTTTGCCGCTTTCTTGCTTGTGTTTGCAGAATGGAGGTTCGCGTCTGCGTACGATTTTAAAACTGCTTAAAACTGAATACAGTACTTTCAGGAGTGGATTTTGGGAAAGGTAGAAGGACGGAAAAATAGCGCTCTTGCACATTGACAACGAAACAGAAAGTCCATTAGATTTTAGCTTCGTTTTGAAACCACCCTTGTTGAAATTGTAGATCAGAATCGTTTGATATTTGACAAAATCGCCACTGTGAGAAAACGTAAAAAAAAAAGTGTTTTCTCGTTGATGTTTGTGCGACGCAGCTTTGCTTCAGGGTACGTTTTTAGAACAGCATAAAATAGCTCTTTTTTTCAAGCGCGGATTAAGGAGAGGGTAGAAAGGTCCAAAAAACGGAGCTTTTGGACTTTTTACACGTGTCCAATCCTCTCTTAGACGTAAAATGATGTTTTTGAAACCATGTTTGTCAAAATTGTTACAACCTCTGGGTTAAAACCTCTGATATCTGGAAAATTTCAATATGTTGAATTGAATGAAACACCAAAAAAGCAGAGACGAATACTTGATCACGGATATTTTCAATGGAACTTTTCTTTCAGGTTCTATTAGGCTATTAAATGATGGTGGCGTCCCTCATGCTTGAAGGACCGAATGCTTGAAATTAATTTTAGCTTATTTTCAGCCAATAAGAATTGAGTATTCAAAATCTCAAAGTAAATCGCAAAAATCTCAAAGTATCAAAATAAATCCAGGCCATTAGTGTTAATATTGACCGATTAGATAATAAGCAGATGAATTTTCAAGACTGAAAAATTCTTATGATTTTGACCGCATTATTCTTGATGATTATCTGAATAGTATTGCGGTTGTAACCCGCAATTTGTAATATTTTTGATTATTTTCCACTGATTTAATACAATTTCTGTTAATATTGACTTCGATTTTGTGAGAAAAGCATTTAGCCAATAAAAACGCTTAGCGATTTTGATTGGTTGAAGTTTTTCAAGCATTGAGTCCTTCAAGCATGAGAATCCTCCCCTTAAATGATTAGAAAAAAGGTCGCAGCTACCATAGAATATATGCTAAAACCTCTGATCTTCCAAACCGGATTTAGGAATAAAAGATAAAAGTGGCTAAAAACGGCATTTTTGGGCATTGTATACGTTTTAAAAAGTCTTTTTTTTTATCAAACACCACATCAATAAAAAAATTTTTAAATTGGTGGCTTCTGGCTCCGACCAGGAACAAAGAATCTGGGAAGAAAACTCTCAATTGTGGTTTATCACGCAAAACCGGTAGCTTGAAGACGGGTCTTGCAACGTCTAGCCATATATCATATCGAAGCCTTTTCAGCAGTAAACTTCAATTTTTTGATCAGCAGTTTTTGACACACTTCTCTTTTCAATCTAAAAGCTTGGACTACCCTGCGCTTAAAATGAAGAAGAAATTTATCTTTGACCAGTAATAGGGTTGAAGAGCGACATTTTTGTGTCTTTTTGCTCATTTGAGATACTTAATTTTCAAGTTTCTTCCAAAGTTTGGGTAGCCTGTTAATACGGCTAGAAGATCCTACCAAATTGAAGCCGCTCAATGGTTTCATTAGGACAAAATTATTCTAAATGATTAATTAGCTAAAAAGAGTTCGATTATACTTGCTTTAAACTTGATAAGATTCTTAGCCATTATAATCGGTTAAAATGTCTGAAAAACACATCAAAATTGCTGGAAAAAATTTGCAGAAAAACATTTACAATTGATCATGATTGGTTTCAAATGGTTTATTTTTGTTTAGAAAAAAGTTAATTTTAATTCATTTTAAATGGACTATAATCAAGTTTTTAGCCTTCTAAAACTTTCTAAAGATGGAATTCAGGCGGGCGCGAGGAGGCAGTTAGCTTATTGATAGTCGAAACAAAATAAAATTCTATTTAATTTATTTGAAATTAAAATTAGTAATTGTTTTAGAGTAAGCGTGTCAGTGTTGGCGATTGAAGGGGAGGACTGCCGACTGACAGCTCTGGGTAAAGTGGCAGACGCTACTAACGGTTCTGTGAACATTGTCTCTCCTACTGACTTGGGCTCGGAATATTCTGGAATAATCTCCAAGAAGATCGTGGGATCCAAAGTGGAAATTACACTTGTTCTTCATGAATCATTGTAAGAGTTTTATTGGTGTTGCACATCGATCGATCGACATTAAGAGGGGGGGGGGGGATTGCGAGGAAGCTTTTTTGTACTTGAAGGACCGAATGCGCAAAAACCAATCAACGCTCTTTAAACTGTCCAAAACTGATTGAATTTATAGCTTATTTCTTCCGAATTTAAAAAAAACACCTTTGATTGGTTGACAAAAATTTCAGTCTTTTCCGCATGAAGGATTCTCTCACTATGGGCTTAATGACATAAAAATATTAACGATAATTAATTCACGTTAAGCTTTGTCTCGTGAAAGTGTCTCATCTCACTCGCCTAAAGTTACAGTAATTAGTCAGTTATACAATAAGGATAATAACGTTTTTTTTTTCATTTAGAAAACTGTAAGCTGTTTTTGGGTTGTAAATACCGAAAGACGTTGAGTTTACCGTTGATTAACAAGAATTTCTATTTATAGATATGTGCGGGATCCGCTAGACCCAACTGATAGGACAAAGTCTTCGTATAAGATGAGCATCGGAAATGTCACCAGCGAAACAGAGAACTTCTTTGAGTTCGGATTCAAACCCAGAGGAGGTTTGTCCGAACTTATATTCCGACGGCCTCAATTAAGAAAATGACCGGATGGTCTATGACCGAAGTAATTTCGGTCATTCTAAAAAAGTGTTCGGCTATAAATCGTTTTTGATTGAAGTTTGAACAATTCACAGAAAAATTAAATGGGTGTAAATAGTTTTTTTTTCGACTGAAAAAAGTACCATGATGATGGCGAATTTCAAAAATTCTGACAGTCTGCTTAAATGACAGCCTAAATTTTCGTACAGTTGAGCTGGAAAACTTTTCTGCTTTTCGAAAAGATGATATTTTTGGAATATTAAAAAATTTTGATAGCTTTGATTTAAAGTACCATCGAAATTTAAGTCAAAGCTTATCAAAATTTTTTAATATTCCAAGAATATCATCTTTTCGAAAAGTAGATACCTTTTTAACTTCTTATGCGAAGATTCGTAACCAATTATCTGACCATCAAAAGCTTAATAACTTTCCAGCATCTGCTGCGAACTCGAACAAAAATAAGACAGAAGACAATGCTGGTCCATCGACAAGCACAACGACTGACAACAACGAGTCAACTTCAGATGCTCCCCTGGACCAGAAGAAAAAAGAGGGGGACAAAAAGGAAGCTGGCGTTCGAGAGTTGCCGTTCCAGCTGCAGATATCCTACGTGAACAAACACAAGGCTCAGCTGAACAGAGTGATCACTACCAAGTTACCATGCACCAAGGAAAGAACAGTGGCAGAAAAAGGTAGTCTCAATAATAGCCTCAAGATGCAATCAAATCAATTAAACTAATGAAAAATAGAACATACTATTTTACTGCTAGAGAAAATAGCAAAAAAAAACAGTTCTTCAAAGTTCTTCAAGATTCAATTCGCAAGCCTTAGTGTTTCCACCTGTGTTCGGTCTGTGGTGGGTCGGTCGAGTATATCGTCGGTCTGTAGATTGGTTGTATGTATCTCGATTGAGAACACGGTTGTATGTATCATTAAGAGGAAACAACGGAATAATATCTGTTTCGGAACAAAATTATCTAGTTTTAAACGAAATCGAAATCGAAAGCGACTTTATTGTCACTACTTTTGCCAATAAGTGGGGATTTTCACGCTTGCCAGAAGTTAGAAGTCAATTATGGCCAAAGTCTAATTAAGTTCATGTCCAGAACATCATTTAAAAACAAGTTTGACTTAGAAACATTTTTTATCCGGTTCAAATCAAGTGTATTCCAAGTTTTTTCGTAGTAAAATACTTGGAATTACCGGGATTTGAACCGGCGAACTTTCGGTTTCAGGTCAAGTACGTTACCGCTAGACTAGCTGGTCTTGATATGCTTTTTTTAAGTTTCAATCTTGAACATCCTCGGGCCCCAACGGAGCAAGAACTGGGGCGAGTTTAACAAGAGGTTGGGTTAAATCTCCTGTTGCGGTTTTAAGGAGTGCGGAACGGGCGGTAGCGTCTTTGCCATAGTTAAGCGTTTTGACGCGAGCGAGAGGGTAGTAACCACGCGGGCTACTATCCTCGACGATCCAAACAAGATCTCCGGCTTTGAGTTCTTGTTCGGTAGATGTGTGCCATTTACGGCGTTTGTTGAGAGTCGGAACGTACTCGCCTAGCCATCTAGTCCAGATGGCGTTAGCGTATCCTTGTGCGCGAAGATAACGCTTTCGATGATCGAAATGTTCGTCCCTCGCAATCGACGGGAAACTAACTGAGCGCTGGCCTATCAAGAAGTGATTTGGCGTTAAAGACTCAATTTCATTCGGGTCACTGCTTACCGCTGAAAGTGAACGCGCATTGAGGGACTGTTCCACAAGACAAAATGTGGTCTGGAGTAACTCGTCGGTTAATTTACGGGGTGTGAGGATGGAGTAGAAAACTCTCTTGCAACTACGTACAAGACGTTCCCAAGAGCCACCATGGTGTGGTGAAGATGGTGGGTTATACTTCCATTCGATGCCTTTGTGGACAAGGAGAGCGGGCGCAAGATCATTCCATGCTCGAGTACACAGAAGAAGCTCTTTGTCTGCACCGACAAAGTTTGTAGCATTATCGGACCAAATTTTCGATGGAGTTCCTCGTCTAGCGATGAATCGCTCTACTGCCATGACACAGGAGCTTGAATCCATTGATGATACGAATTCAATATGGATGGCTCTAGTGGTCAAACAAGTGAACAAAAACGCCCAACGTTTCTCCGAACTCCTACGGATTGTTACGTGAAAGGGTCCGAAATAATCAACTCCGCAATTGTTGAAGGGCGCTTGGCGGTATCCAAGACGCTCAATTGGCAGATCAGACATGAAAGGGGTGATCGTTTTCAACTTTCGCTTTCGGCAGTTTTTACAATTAAGTTCAACGTTACGGAGCAATGATCTTAATTTTAAGATTGCATATTCTATCTGGATGACAGATCGTAAGTAGTCAATTGACTGATGCTCATGTTCGTTGTGTTGATGAGCCAAAAACAATTTGACTAATGGATGACGGCCATCAAGCATAATGGGATATTTATTTTTAAATTCGAGTTCAGAGAGACGACTAATGCGTCCTATGGATCTAAGAAGTCCATCGGGCTCAATGAAAGGGGAGAGAGTTGCAATAGGGCTTACATTCTTAACATATTTCTCAGAACTCAATAATTTGAACTCTGAGGGGAACGCTTCTTTTTGAGAAAGAAGAAACAACATTCATTGAGAACTATCTATCTCAGACGGTTTAACGATATTAGCGATTGTCCCACGGAAATGATTAAATTTAGGATTTAATCGGAGGATGAATGCTACTACGCGCAATAATTTGCGAAACGAGCTGTAACGTTTCCACTTAATGACGGGTTCAGGGACTGACGGATTGATTACAAAATTAGTGGCAGTATCGATGACATCATCGATAGGACCTTTTAATTTTATTTTTGTAATCACATCGAAATTTGGTAGAAAGGGCCAATCACTGGTTCTGAGGAAGCTGGGACCTTGAGTCCAGCTGCTGTCCTTCAAGGCTTCAGCGGCAATACCTCGAGTACCAGTATCAGCTGGGTTGTTTTCAGCATCTACGTGATACCATTCGTCGACAGTGGTAACTTCCAGTATTTCGCCTACTCAATTAGCGATGAATACTGGCTGCTTTGCAGTCGAATGAAGCCATTGTAGCGCAGTGGTACTGTCAGTCCACATAAAGACATCATTTATAGGGATCGAAAGTGCTTTCATGATATCTATTTTGAGGCGTGTAGCAAGCAAAGAAGCTTGCAGCTCTAATTTTGGGATGGAAATAGCTTTTATTGGTGCCACGCGGGCTTCACCCAAAATGAAGGCGAGGTTTGTCTCATGTGTATCAATAATGCGCGCACGGAGAAATCCAACTGCACAGAAGACTTCCTGTGAACTGTCACCAAACATAAGGAGTTCAATTTTGTCAACTGCGGATGGAAAGTAGCATCTCGGTTTGATCAGTTGACCCAGGATGGGTAGACCAGACCGCCATTCGAGGAATTTGGCATTTAATTCCAAAGGAAGTAGGTTATCCCATTGTTGACCACAGATTCTCCAAATCTCTTTAAGAAGTAGTCGGGCTCTGACAGTGTACGGAGCGACTATCCTAATAGGGTCGAAAACTGAAAAGACAAAACTTAGAACTGTACGTTGGGTAACAGTATCCTTCAGTTCTCTGTTTAAACCTCGACTAACTACCAATGTATCGAGAACGTGATTCCATTTGAAACCTAGAACATGCGATTCTTGACCTTCACTAGTTAGAATCTCCTTAACTTAACTTAATTTGTCGCTTGACGTACATAACTCTTTCTGAATCTCTTTGACATTGCTCACGAATTTTGTCAACTTAAATCCTCCTAACTTAAGTAGTTCTACAAGGTCCTTACTTAATTTTAAAGCCTGTTCAGGTGCGGGAAACGAATCAAGATAATCGTCCATATAGAATTTTTGCATCACGGCTGACACTGCGTCGGGGAACAAGACTTGATTGTCGCGAGCTGTCTTTTGAAGAGCAAAATTAGCACATGTGGGCGAGTCACGAGCTCCAAAAATGTGTCGCGTGTATTGATACGTTACCATATCGGTTGTGGGATCCTCCCGCCACAGAAAACGAAGTGACAGTTGGTCGATTGGGAGAACATCAACCTGAAGGAACATGCCTTCAATATCAGCTGATACTGCATGTTGATGTTGACGGAATCTCATTAGGACGGCCAGCAGATTCTGAAGCAAATCTGGACCAACCAAAAGAGCTTTATTACGTCACGATCCATGAAATTTGGCTGCACCACTTAGGACGCGGCGGACTTTTCCGGGTTTATTTGGATTATTCACGGGGGGATGAGGAAGATACCATTCCCTAGCGGAACGATTTGTGCAGTCATGTGTATTCACTTTGATGACGTAACCTTTGTCAAAATCTTCTTGAATGTTTTTTGCATATAAAGCCTTGAGTTTTGTGTCTTTGTCTAAACGTTTCTCCAGAGATTTAAGTTGTGCTAGGCGGAGTAGTAGTTGTTGGGCAACTGTGAGTGGTCTTCGGCCCAAAGCATCCCAACGGCGTATGTATCACCATCATGTATAGTTGATGCTTTTAAAATTTTATTCGCCCTTTTATCGTCTGACGATCGGGCATCTACTTGTTTATACGTACCGTATGATTCAAGTTCGTACCAAGATTTGACCTGCTCCACCAAACTTACATCTTTGATGTTACAATGCAAGCATGTTGAGATCAGGCCGGTGGAAGCAGGGAATGGACCACTTCAGACCCATCCAATTGGGAGGCGAACGGCGAAAGGTGATTTTTGGCTTTTATCCTGGCAGTATTCCAGAGGACAAATGTACTCATAAACATCTTGACCTAAAATCATTTCGACATCAGCGTACCGAAATTCGACTGAATCTATTGGTTCCAAGTGAGAAAAATTCTCTTGCAACCTACGAACGTTAATTATATCTAAGCCTATGTAAATGTTGTTTTTTACATATGCACAAACGGTGAACGAAATATCTGGATCAAATTCAGAAGAAACGTTCAAATCAACTTGTTCTGAAGTAATATCTTCGGAACAATTGGCGCCATTGACAGTCAAATCAATTTTCCTACCTGTCAGATTGAGTCTGCGAGCGAGTTCAGGCGAAATACAAGAGTGACTGCAAGCTGTGTCACATAACACAAGTGCGCTGGTTTCAGAGTCATTTGATGATAATGTGAGATTTATAAGTGACATCAGTCCTTTTAGATTCATAAGGGATGTCCCACAAGTATTGTTTTGCGTCGTGGGTCTAAATTGAGTTTGAACTGCGGGATTGGCTGCAGTTGTGTGCGGTGCATAACCAGATTGGTGATTTGTAGGGAAAACGCGTTCTGCGCCGTGCAGTAACACATTATGAGTGCTCTTGCACTGTGGTTTAGGACAAGTTTTGGGCTTGGGACATTTCCTAAACATGTGATTTCCTTGAAAACAAGAAAAACAAAGCTTATTTTCAGCGCAAAATTTAGCACGCTGTTTTGGAGTTTTTTCTTTAAGAACGCTATATTTAAAAATTGAATACTTGCTTTTACAAACTAAACATGGACTATATTGAATATTTGCGTCAAACTTAGCTTGCGAGTTTGCGGCAAACATTTTAACATTGGTTTTTGTCCGAACCGAATTATCCTGATTTCTATTGTAATTTGATTAAGGACGCATACGTTCATGCGCTTCAGTTTTTTATCCTCCAGCCAATGATTGAAATCAATTAAAGA